CGCATTGCATTATGGTTCTCTAGAGGAACAGAATCCATCTAACATTTATCTATAATTATATAAGGGAATTATCAGGGAAGCTTACAGGGTCATAAACAGAAAAGCTCCAATGGCCACTGTGGACCATTAGAGGCATGTAAAAGTCTTTCCCTCTTCATTCTGTCCAAGTGACAAGTCTATTGGTTGGTGCCACTTATATCTAGGTTGGGTCTTTCCCCTTCAATTTGCTAGCATACATGTCACCCAGAATATACTAATCTTTTGTGACTCTTACTAAGTAGACATATTGCAATTAAGGATTGCACATATCTTTAACTAAATTTGCAGTGTACATACCAACTGCTCCTGCTTTTAGAAGCACACAATGATAGACTTTTTTAGCTTTAAGTTCTTTAGTTCAAGCAAGAATTTGTCACATCCATTCATGTAATAGAGTACATCCAGAGTTTGGGTCATTTTTTGTTGTTATTGATAAAAAAAGAAAATAGTCCATTGTTTTAAGATATCACACATAGTTACCCTTCCCGTGCTATACATTATGATACTTGTGTGGGTGAATTTCATTCAAAGACATATTTTGAGCTCATTTTAACAACTATTTATTTATTTATGAGACAAGGTCTCACTAAAAAGTCTAGGTTGGTCTTGAGCTCACTGTGTAGCGCTCCACCTCATGATCTACATCTTCAGCATCCCAAATGCTAGGATGAGATTTATGTCACCAGGCCTGGCTAGCAACTCGCTTTTAAAGAAGCCTCAAATAAATCCTTTAAATATTCACAGCAGAATTGTACGATAAGTCAGGAAAATAATGATAATTAAATCATTTTGCAATTAATATTTTAGCCATGACACAAAAAAGCTCTTATATTTGATTTTGAATTCTGTGTTATATACCATACACAATGAGAGTTGGGATCAAGAATTTCTCTACTTCATAAAAACTTAATTCATGTTAATCCTAAAATGCATATTTTTACTTTGCTGGAGGGAAATCCCCTATCATTAAAATCCAACTATCTCATGATTAATGTTTTTCTCCTATTTAGGTTATCAGTGGATCATTCAGCACTTCTCAACTGGAAATTAACTTGGATATTTGTTTAAAAGCACACTAGGCATTTCATGTACAGAATCTCTTTGGCTAGTATGTGAATAATTATTTAAATGCATGCACAAGATTTCACTATTTTTACTCATTTGCTTATCAATTCTCTGCATATTGCCTGACGCGATTTGAGGCAAAACCGCAAAGTGCCCCTCTGTCTTTTAGTTTATTTAAATCCTTTTAAAGGGATTTGGTTGCTGTCTTCACTGAATTGTTCTGCACACTTCAAACTTTCAGTTTGCTAGATAAGACTTTTTCTATTTTCTCCTGTGTGTGTGTCTAGGCAAAATATTCTCACTAGCTTATATTACATCTTTCTAATACACTTTTCTTTGTGTTTTCTTTTTTAACTTTTCCAATAAGGTCGATACATCCAAGAAATTTTGTCAGGTTCAATTTCAAAATAGTCATATAATAACTAAGCTCTAATTCTGCATTTCATGTTTTCCCTCTCTTTAAGAAAGCTGAAAAATATTAAATATTAAATATGGCCTCCTTACTAATTGCGAACATAATTAACAATATTAAAATTCACTTTCCTTAAATTTTGTGAGTATTTCACAGCTATATCAATATCAGAATTTTTATTTTCTTTTAACTATGGTATAAAAGTATTATGGATATACAAAAACCTGTACAAATCATTTAGATATAAGCTCATGAACCCATCTCCACAATCTATGCCATTAATACTTATTCCTACCCCCTTTATTATTGTTATTACTTACATGTATGTGTGTGTGCATCTATGTTAGAGCACATAACATCCACGCTGATAACAAAATAGAGTATTGAAAACTGTGGGCACTATTCTTCTGAGTAGACTTCAGGAGAATAGATCTTACATGTGTTGTATAAGTAATATTTTCTACTATTTTTACCTCCTCATTTTCTTTTTCTCTTATGCCTGGGAAATTACCATTCTACTCTCTACTTCTATTAGTTTGCCTGATATAGAGTCTTCACATAAGTTGAACCATGTTGTATTTAATCCATCTGTAACTGACTTGCTTAGCATAATGCCATTTAGGTTCATCCATGTTTTCACAAATAGCAAGACTTCCTCCTTTCTTTAAAACATTTGATGAATATGCACTTTCATTATCAATGCTTCTGTCCCTGAATGTTTAGGTTGATTTAATTTCTTGGCTTTTGTGCATAACACTGCAGAGAATATGGTAATACAGACATCTGTTCATGATCTCGGATTCAATATCTTTGGGTACATACCCAGAACTGAGGTTGCTGCATCATGATATTTCTGTTCTTATCCTCCATACTGGTTTCCATAGCAGCTTTGTCATTTTGTATTCCCACCAACAGTGTCACGCGTTTCAAATTTTCTACAGCTTTGCCAATATTTACCTTTTAGTTAATTATTTATTTAGCTATCTAGTCATAAAAGTTCGTACATTTTGACTATTAACATATTACAAGCAACATAAGTTGCAAATATTTTCCTTTTCCATATATTTCCTTTTAATTTTGTTGATGTTCCCTTTGCTGTAAGATCTCTTTTATTTAATATACTCTAACTTTTCTATTTAAATTTTATTTACCTGTGCTTTTGGTATGATGTCCATAAATCATTTCTCAGATTCAAATGTTGAGAATTTTTGTCTTTATGATTTCTTGAATGAGTCTTAGTATTTCAAGTTTTACCTTTAAGATTTTAATACATCTTGAGTTTTGTTTATTGTGAAATATATGGGTTCAATTTCATTATTTTTCAAGTGGACATCCAGTTGTCCCAAAACTATTTATTGAGTAAAATTTTTTTTTTCCTCTTTACTCCTATGATGAAAATCAAGAATATTTAATTCTGGGTACTCTATTCTATTCCATTGGACTACATTTGTTATATCAATACCATACTATTTTAATTACTAATCCCCATTTTCACCATGAGTATTCAACTTAGTATTGTAAAAACTAGTTAAAAAACTAGGCAAGTGACAAAAATGCTGAATCATTTTTTGAAAATGACATGATCTCAAAGCTTATAATGAAAACAAATAAATCAATGTACAAACGTTAGTTTGATTTTTATACATTAAACTATTTAAATGAAAGTTAAAAATAATCCAATTTACAAAATAAAAAAGAGAATAAGATACTTAGAAATATAATTGACTAAAGAATTGAATGTATTATACATTGAAATCTGTAAAGTCTAATGGAATGTTTTATAAGAAGATACAAATATACCAAAATCACATCAAATTATGAATTTGATGATCTAATATTGTCATTGTGTCAATATTATCCAAAGGATTTATGGGCTCTATGCTATCATTTTCAGGAGCAGTTTTTAGTATATGTGCTGCCAAAGCGAACTCTTAGGAACAATTTTTAAATGCATTGATTTTATTTATATCATTTTTCCTATGTATTTACAGTTTACTTTAGAAACAGTGAGATATATCTGAAAATATACCCCCTTACTCATTTTCTAATGAATGTTTCATGATTTAGCAAAATTTTATTAACAATTTATATTACTTTTATTGAAATTGATGGAGATGTGTAGGTAATGTGTCATCAGAATATTAATCTTCATCCAAACTTATCCAATCAAACTGCTCATTTAAACACAAAAATAACCAAGCTAATAATTTTTTTTCTTTTCCCCATAACTAAACTTTTATAAGTATAATTGTAACAGATTTAGAATATTTAAAATACTTTATGAGAGTAAAGATAGATGTCCTAAAAATTATGAAAACTTTCATGTTTCCCTTTCATAATCAAACAAGATCACCAAGTAGTAAGTTAAACAAATCTCTTAGAATTAATTGTGTATTGTATGTTTACAAGAAAATTTAGTATTTACTAGAGTAGATCACTTGCATGTTTTCAAAAGAAAGTATATGTTTTTGAACTAAATAAGGTCATAGTGTCATGACATTTTCTCTATTCCTATACTTTATCATAAAAAGTGTACTTGTGCCCTTCTATTGGACAGTGCTATTATGGTTTCTGTTCCTCTTTTTTTTTTTTAACGATCTTTCTTCTTTTTTCTCTTTCCTTCCTCCTACTTTTCCTAGATTCTTTCTGTTCCCTTTCTATAATATGAGTGAAATACATAACATAAAGTATCATCACTGCACAGCATTCAAAAAGTATGGTGCCTCTTTTGGCTAACGTAATTCTCATTCCACATTTGTCACTTGACTCAGCAACTTACTGAGTGAGACTTAATACTTGGCCAATGAGAAGAAGACTGAATCTGCTTAAATATTCAATTCCCATGGAACTGTTGACTTATAAATAATCTAGAAATTAGAATATAGCACATTTCATGTATACGTTCATTTTTTTAAATATAAAAGAGAGCAATGGTATTTCTACATCTCAATAATTTTGCAGGAAAAGTAAAGCCTCAGTTCACAAATGCTTCCATTTGCTAACAATTCGATTCACAAATGAAAGCTTTTGCTGAAATAGTATTTTGCACTTCCAGTGACAAACACAACCACAGCCACCTTCCCCACACAAACACAAACACAGCCATCTACACCCCAGATCATAAAACAGCATTGGTGCTATAGTGGTTAGAATAGCTGCCTTCCAAAATCATAAAACAAATTAAAAACATGAATCAAGGTCACCCTGTAATATTTTTTAAAGAAAATTTGTCCCCAGATTATACATTGGGAATCCTGAAAGAAAATGTTACATCTTTGGAAAGTGGTGGCATGGTTTTTCTTTATTTCTTTCTCTCACTTTCTACATCATTTCATTTTCCATTGTTTTATTATTGTATGAGAAGGATAAAATTTTCTAAGATAAATAATATTTGTATATAAGAAAAGGTGCAATTGTGAAACAATATTAAGTGACAATGCTTTCATTACTACAATATTTTATGCTTCCTATTTTTTGGCTCTAGAATATGATTGCAGAATATCAGGAAATATGTTCATCAAAATATCAGAAAATAATGGAAGTGAATTAATAATGCTGAGCATCCTAAAGTCAGTTCATAAGGTAATGTATTATTTTTTCTCCTTGAGTTTATTGGTACATTTTAGATATGCGGTACAGTTGCATTCATCATTGGGGTCTTGTACCTTTACATGACAGGTCTTGGTTCTAATTTTTTCCCCTTACCTTTTCCCTCCCTTAACCCCCTCCTCCCTTTCCTATTTAGATAATGTATTTTAGAATATAGAAAGCAAAGAAAGTGCTTTTGATGAGTTCAAATGGGATGTTCCCTTTTCGGTAAAAATGATTTTTGTAAAGATAGTATAGTTCTCTCAAACTATCTGAGGTAAAGATTTTTGGGGGTAGGGGTTTTAATACCTTGTTTTTCAATTTTTTTCCTCATTGAGTTTATTGTTACATTTTAGGTATACAGTACAGTTACATTCATTATTGGGATCTTGTACCTTTACATGACAAGTCTTGGTTCTCATTTTTTCCCCTTATCCTTGCCCTCCTTTCACCCCTCCTCCCTACCCCTTTACAAACAATTCATTTCCATTTTTTCATTTTCTCATATTTTTTCTTTTCCTTTATTAGCTTTCCCCTACCCTTCCCACTTTCCCTACACCTTTAGCCCTTTTCTTCCTATTTCGCACTGTCCATTATATCATTAGGATCTTATGTACTATTATAGCTTATTCACACCAGAGAAACTATTCGAATACCTTGTTTTTTTAAATGTAGTAGCTGAGAGTGACAGAGTATGCCTGTAATACCGTCACTACGGAAGGCAGTCAGGAAGCTCACAAATCGGAGTGCTGGGCAACTTAGCAATTCAGAGAGATCCTATCTCAAAAAAAAAAAAAAAGAATTAAAAATTAAACACTTCAAATGATTTTATATTCAATAGATTTAATTCGCAATCAAATAGCTCCTTCTTTTTAACTAATAAGCAACCACCAAGAAGTTTTCGATGTAATGATTTATTTTGGGCATATGTGTATTTCTCGGCTGTCTATTGTTCCTTCATACTTATTATGACATCAGAGTTCTCACTGTTTGAGTAACTATCTCCTAATTCACGTTGCATCCTATTCCTTTATATTTAACTTTCAGGTTGGGGAAAATCACAGAGAAGAGGACTGGCAGTATGTTTGAGATGCAGGAAGATCATAAATTACTTCCACCCATCAAGGGAAATTGAAAAATGTTGTTCAGCTATGTATTTAGGAGAAAAAGGAAATGGAAATTATAATTATTATGTAAATTATGCCCAATGCCTAAGAATTGTGCAAATGAGTGGATAAGACACTATGCATACAGCAGTTAAAAAAATAAACATGGAGTGATGGTGTAGAAATCAATTGAACTGGGATGTTGAGATTTTTTTCATGAAAATGTATGAGTGAAAAAAATCTTAATTTAATTAGGTAGAAAGAGTAGGATGTTTACTCCATATGGAATCTATACCCCCCCAACTGGATACCACAACCAGGGAGTTTGTTATGAAAGACAAAGAGTCAAATCAATGTGAAGATCAATATTTGAAGGAATTGATGCTCAGAGTGGCTTCTTGTGTGTTCTTATGGTGTAATCACAATGATTCTGAGAAGATTATGATCCATTTATCTTAATTATGTGAAATATTTGCATTATCTAATAAAATATGATATATTTGATGCAATTTTGAGGTAAATAATGAGCCTGTAAACACTTGTTTATCCAATGAATAAGTGAAAGAAAATACACATTCCCTCACGACTACACTAGAAGCCTTTATTTCAAATATGATAAATATAACTATACTATACTACGTAGCATATATACTACATAAATAATATAGCAATATATAAGCCATTACTAACATACACATATCAGTGATTATTTTTGTGTATGTCATAAATGAGAGCAGAAAGATGAAGTAACATGAAGATAGATAGTTAGAAATAAATATATAATTTTTTTGTACTGGGGATCGAACTTGGGACCATGAGCTTGCAAGGCAGGCAGTGGCACCACTGAACTAAACTGTGGGCCCAGGGGACATGTTTGAATGAGGAAAGAAAGCAAAATGTCATTTTGAGACAATAAAATACAGAAAATTGTGCCCAAAATTTAAACTCAACTGATAAGCTGGGTAAAATTAGAGTGGAACAGGGTTAGCAAGATGAATACTTAACAAAACTGGTAAAACTATTTTACCTAGAATAATTTTATTTAAATGAAAACTGAGAAAAGCAATATAATGCAAACAAGTTGGCATTATTGACATCATGGAAATATCTTAGAAAAGAAAAAAAAAACAATATTTAACCTAGTTTCACTATCACCTATATAATTAGGAGCACCCAAGAAAAAAAGTATGAATATTGCTTAAAATTCTTTGGTGGCAAATTCCAACCAAACTTGTGTAAGTATAGTTATAAATGCTAACTCCACTTACTATTATGCTGCATACATGTTGATATCAATCTCTGACCTTAATACTGTACTGGACGTTAAGGAATACTTGCATGCATGTATTACAATACAAAAATACCAACATTTCTGAATTTGACAACCCATATCCCAAAACAATTTCAGATAAGGGATTATGGCTATTTACATGCTTATAAAAACTTGAATTTAAGAATTATCTTAATATAGACAAAGAAAGAAAGAAAAGAAAGAAAGAAAGAAAGAAAGAAAGAAAGAAAGAAAGAAAGAAAGAAAGAAAGAAAGAAAGAAAGAAAGAAAGAAAGAAAGAAAGAAAGAAAGAAAGAAAACATTTTAAACATTACATCTAAGAACATTTAGTTACCAGGGTTTTGTATAACAAATTCATCAGAAAAAGATATTTTTGAATTACTGCCCTAGACATTTAAAAAGATGCTAACTAGAGAGCAACAGAAACTGAGTTTATGGCTCTTCATGTCTTTCACATAGTATTTAATTTAATCAGTACTTTAAAATAAAGTAATTCACTAATAAAACATTGAAGTTTTACAGAATTATGTATTTAACATTGATTATCTACCTATTTTGTCGTGACATTCCTTTGACTCCGTTACTTTTTAAATTTTATTTATAAATTCAGGCAAAAGTAATTTTATTATACATTATTTGGTAAAACCAAAAGTACCACTAATTGGATATATCAGATATGTGGAATGTTTTGCAAAGACTTTGTAAAATGAATACTGTTTTGGTATGTAGGATCCTTATGGTTTATTTGATCTTTTCAATACTGATTGATAACACAAAGTGGTAAAAGTCATTCAATCTTATAAAATTCATAAAATGGGCTCCATCTGGAATAAAAAATAAAGCAAGAAAACAGGATAAAGATTTTCATTTATTTAAGGGACAGGCCCACAAATGAACCGATCCTGTGTTCTCACATCTGGCTTTGACTCTTACAACCATAAGTAGTGTTAATATGTATGATGTTGGTTATTTTCAAACGTGAAATAAAGCTGTATGAAAAAGTATCATTTTCAGTGATTAGTCATTATGTGCTGGCTTTGGAAAGAGGTGATTCTGAGCATGAATAAATAAACTTTCTTGCTTTTGCCAAACTAATCAACAGGAATATGGCAAGCGATTCAATAAAAACATTTTCAGAAATAGCTGTTGAGTATAGTTTATTTATTTATTTTTATTGAGTTTATTGGTATATTTTAGGTATATATTTTAGGTACAGTTACATTCATTACTGGGATCTTGTACCTTTACATGACAGGTCTTGGTTCTCATTTTTTTCCCCTTGTCCCTGCCCTCCCTTCACCCCCTCCTCCCCTCTCCTGTTGAGTATAGTTTATAAATGGAATAAATTTTAATTAAATATTAGATTGTTTACTTTCTCACTCTTCTGATATAGTTATAATGTTTTAAATCAAATATTCTTTTTTATTCATTTCAATGCATTAATGGAATTATACTAACTCACTGATAGAGACAGTGTGTAGTAAGTTTAAAAATGTACTTCCTCTCACAGCCCTGCAAGAAGCAGTTTTACAAAATAATGTCATAGGAGGCAAAAACAAAGAGTAAGTGACCATTTTGTTTTTCTACATCTTTTGAATTTAGATTTAAAATTCTCATTTATGCTATTTATCTACAGAAATGATCCCATTCTTACTAAGTTGACACCAAGTCTGGACTAAAACGTCAGCAAATTATACAGTTCGTGTAAGTCCTTAGGAAGGAGCAGGTTTATTTCCCCCTCTCCTTTCCTTTAACTAGTAACCTTAAAATAACCCACTCCTATTAATAAATGGTACAGATCATAATCCATATCACATCCTGCTACAAAGGGTGCAGAGAAAATTTGAACACTTCCCCCATTCTCCAACTTTACTTGTTCACTGTTACAATTTTTAATAAATACTTAGATACTAAAATTAACGTACGTTTTGCAAAGACCAAAGTACTGAACCTTTTATTGTCATTGTAAATGTTGAGGCCTGGGACATTTTACTATGACCTACTAGCAATGAAAGAAAATTTACCAAATCCCCTTTGAACAATTAATTTTATCTACAAAAAGAAGCTATGTGGATGCTTTGGGTTATGCAACAGAGGTCAAGTAGAAGAGCAATAATTGCTCAAAGGAATTAAAAAAAAAGAGAGAAAGAAAGAAGACCAGAGTGGTAGGACAAAGCCTATGGTCTTCAGAAGAAAAGCCACTGAACTGGAAAAGTGCAACTATGTCAGGAAGAGTCCCTAGCTTTTTGAAGTATGTTTTGTTGCCCTTTCAATTATTTTGAATCGTTTATTTTCTGTATTCCCTTAGTCTAAGGGACTTAATAAATATGGAATCATTTCTGTAGATACATAGCATAAATGAGGGTTCTAAATGAATTTCTAAATTCAAAAGATGTAGAAAAAGCAAGATGGTTACGTACTCTTTGTTTTTGCCTCCTATGACATTATTTTGTAAAATGGCTTCTTGCAGAGATGTGAGAGGAAGTACATTTTTAAACTTACACACTGTCTCTATCAGTGAGTTAATACCAATCTTGTCTTCATGTTTAACATTAAAGGTCAACATTTCCAGTACCTCCTTAAAAAGTAAACTTACATCAATTTCATACAGTATACTGAGAAGAACTAATTTTTATTGAACATACTTTGTGCAAATAAACTCTGCTAAGAGCTCTAAATCGTAACAGCAAAGTCACATTCCTAAAGTCAAGTTATAAGATTTTAAATGTGTGCTTGTGAAAATAAATTGAGTCAGGAATGATTATTTTTTTATGAGTGACCATTTCTTCCTTTCTCAGACCACAAATATCAAAGAAAAATGCAGACAACTATAAACTGCTAGGGTCAATAGGTCTTCAGACTGTAAGAGATTCCAAAAGGGCATTAAAATGCTCATCCTCCCATCCCGGAACATCTCTAGAACCTGGTATCTGGAGGTTGGAAAGGTAGGGAGCTAGAGAGAGCATGTCAGGAAACAGTCTGTAGGGAACATAATGATTTGCACTTCCCTTCTGTCTGGAGGAATGATTTTTATGAACATTTTATTAAGACAGATATGCTGGTTACTCTAAATGAAATGTCTGGTGACTGCTTCTTGTTCAGAATTTGCTAAGTGCTTTGAAATAAATCTTTACAACAGAGAATGACTGAATGACCTTATAGTGTGCCTGGGGAGAACATAAGTCTTTATGTGCTATGGGAGATGGAATTTGATAAGGAGAATTCCGAACATTGTGGTCAGAAAATGAGCACATTGCATAATCAATGAATAAAATGATGAACGGGACATGGAATCGCAAAGAATCATGTGGCACTATTTGATTGAGTTTTGGTCGGTCAGCCCTGGGATTTAGCTCAGTGATGCTGCCGCCTGACTTGCAAGCACAAGGCCTCAAGCTTGATCCCTGGTACAAACAAAATAAAAATTAAAGAGTTGTGTTCTGTCTTGTGGAGAGGCGTAACCCAACATAGGCCTTTCTGAGGATCTGCTGAACCACATAACAAGAAATTGTAGAGAATAGAACATCCTAGAAGTACAATTTATCTGCACTGACAGCATAAAACTAGCCTTTTAGTTGGCAGATGGAATGTAGGGGGATGTGGATGTATATCAGTGGTCACAACAGGCATTACAATTTAAAAGATTCAGAGAATAATGCCTTTTGTTCAACTTATGTGGAAATCTATAAAGATTTCTTAAGTATTAGGCCAGTACCTTTTGTTCAGGTGTTTAGAATTTAGAGGAGAGTAAATGGTAAAAGAAAGACATCAAGAAAGCTTTGATTAGAGAGGAAGTATGATAATAACATGCGGATTTGATCAAAATTTTCCTCTAAACAGGGGCAGAAATTTAGGCTCAGAAAAATGACAATAATAAAGAAAATTTACACAAGATCATTACATTACTTTATGAAAAAACTAGGTGAATCTAGGTCTCATTTCTTAAATTATTATCTATAAAATACTGTTAATCTTTATGTATCACCAAATTCCAGATATCCACCTGCCTACTAACAAACTTCCATATATACCCCAGACTTGTTGTTCCTATCCTGAAAGGTGGTATTAGTCTCACTGACACTGCAATGCAAATGGAAAACAAAACATTAAATCTAGATTAATTCACTGTCCTATATATTTTTTTGTTGTTGATAGTGGAACATATCAAAATTTTCAGGTCAGTACACAAAAGCTATAATTTTTTCTAACGAAATAGTGTAAATAAGATCCAAATTGTATAACTGACAATATGAAATAGGAAGAAAAGGGCTAAAGGTGTAGGGGAAGTGGGTAGGGTTGGGGAAATAAAGTAAGGGAAAAGAAAAAAT